ACCTGTGGCCATGGAAGTGATTGGAACACCTGATTCCAATAATTTGGATGGGTGAGCAAATACTTTTGGCAATATAGTGTATATATATATATACGTATGTGTGTGTACATATCATATGAAACAAATCTTATAATACATGGAGGGTTGTTTGGAATCGATGGATGGTGTCATAGGCTGTTTAGCTCCAGGTTACTAGAGTCAACCTGGAGCTAAGGAACCTCACTGAGCGGTTTTGTGTTGTTCCCCCTTTTCTTACTTTATATGTGAAGTGTAATTAGGTTTCTTGAAAAGCTCTTTAAAAGAAATGTATCATTATCTTAAACGTCTTTTGATCAACTTAAAATATATCTGTTCTAAAACAGTGTAGATGCCCATTCATGTGGTACATTTCATTTTACTATCAGTCATATTGTGCATGTTATCTTACAGCCCACTGCATCTCACCAAGTTTGCCTGAAAGTCCTCCAACAAAGTAAAACAACTGCTGCACAATATGTTGGGCCATCATACATCATAAAGATGAATATTTCAAATGCTTTTAATAATGGAAACTCACATTAGTTCACAATGGATGGAGGTTTCTGTTTGGAAATATAGGCTGAGAGAGGCGCAGAGCCATGGGTCATTAAGGCTGCTGTGCTTCAGTGTAAGCTGAGTAGAGTTAAATATGAAGGATGGTGAGGAAAAGGCAAAAGACAGAAAGAGTTCTGTTTTCTTCAGAAAGATCTTCCATTTGAAAAAGAACTAACATTTTACTGCATCATTAGGCTGAAGCAAAGTATGAGAACAGAGTCACACAGTGATAAATCATTACAGACTACTGGGGAAGACTAACATTATGTTATTGATGTTTAAGGTACTAATGCTGATGGCTGGAGTGAGCAGTTTGATTCTCTTTTTCTTCAGGAACATCAGATTCAATCCAATCACAGAAGTTTTGTATTACTTTTGTTTCTTTGGTTTTTGTTAGCGCTAAAAATAAAGATGGTTTGCATTTCACCAGTTAGCTGACAGAATCAGTTTCTTCTCCATGGCTGTGTTACCTTCATGGAGAGCAGCCGTGTGAGGTAGATCTCAGGGATGGCCTTCGCTCGCTCCCCTCCCTTCTCCCTCATGCTGCCTCTCCTATGCTTCGGCAACTCTGATTCGTCACTGGCTTTCACCAGATGCCAAAGCCTCACGCCACCTTCCTCCCCATCATCCAACATGGGGGTTTCTGTAGGAAAAGGGAGAACAGCTGGAGCTAAATGTCTGATACCAAGAGAAACACTGAAAGAGTTATTGTCAAAATACATTATATTATACCAGCTGGAATATATATTTATTAAAAGTTTAATAGCTTCTATGTTTATATGTTTTGTTATTATCACACCAAAATAACATCAAAGTATACCATAATGACTGATTTCTTAGAGAATTGAATTAACAATAATAAAGGAAATCTTTCCAACTTTGTTATACTCATCATATTTGGGAAAGTTTCAGCTTTTACTACATTTTAATTCCTCTATAATTCTCCTTAAACAGACAGTTATTTAGAAAAAAAAAATCTATTTTCACATTTATACAGTTCTACAAATGCTGTCTAATCAGCTTTACACAGGAAAACTCAACAGTGACACCCAGTGGTCATGTGGTGGAAGAGAAGACAAAAGACTCCAGATCATATAATCCTATGAAGGATGCAATCATTAAAACATATTTCTAATTTACAGATTAAAAAACTTATTGCATAAGAATAGAATAAACAGTTAACAAAATAATGACTCTCGTAAAAAAGTTAATATGTCCTAAGTCTATTGTTTATCTAACAAAAATAGGGATTTCATTCAGTTAAACACAAAAATAATAAATGTACTCAATAAATTTAGGATTAATTTTTCAGTGGAAAACAAAGCTACAGCACCCCAACCCCTTTACCAGCTGATCTTAGTCTATAGTGCAATTTTCCATCTTCTGGAGTTAAAAATTCAACTGGAATGCCTCTGAAAGTCAGAGGAAAGTCTCTGTAACTGGATTATACCAGACTTTTGCTTTTAAGATGGATGCTATTCCCTGTTAAACAGCAGTTAGACTTTTCTTTTGAATATTTGCAGCATTTCTTATTACATATGCAGCATTTTGTCTGTTGTTCAAGTGTTTATAAACTGATATGTTTCAGTGCTGCCTATATGTGCAGAATATTATGTAGAGCAGTGTTTTGGATTTCATGACCATACTGATCATGGAGAATAAAACTGTCCACAAACAGGAAGGTGGAATGCGTCTACATAGGAATTACTGCTTCTGAATTTGAAGTACGGATGATATTGGACAGCACCATGGCCCCCATTTTGGCTGAGAAGCCATCACTGACGGGCTTCCTGTAGGAATCCCACACAGGGATCTTTAGAAGATGATGATCTGGGATTTGACTGAACTTTCACAACTTTTAATTTGATTATTTCAATGGAGAGCCCTGGTTAGTTTATGCCCAACAAGTCCTTTCTTGTTATCCTACTTAATCAGTTTATGACTCATGTGTCTGAAGAACATACTGTAACTCCAGAAGACAAAAATGTTCTCCTTTTGCGTCTCCCACTAAAGCTGTGTCCCCGTTTTGTCAATGGTATTGCCCTTTTGGAGCTTTTAGCCTCTTGCTGTTTTCAGGGTAAACCTCCAAAGATGTCTACATATGGATGTTGATTGACAGTGTTTCTGCTTATAGTTTTTTTCTGTACAGTAGCTTATTTAAAAGATTCACAGTGGCTCCATTGAATCCATAACAGGACCTGGAAACTTCTACTGTTACCTCTATAGATCTATAGAGATTCATCCTAGCATTGAGGAGTGTTTGTCTGGTTTAATTAATCCTTTAAGGGTAACTATAGAGTATAGTACCCAGAATCTATAGATTCATCTGCAACTAACGTGATACACGTGTCCCTTTCTAGTTACTTTAAAAAGATTTTAAACTGTCCTATTTATTCACTTAGGACACTTAGGATTTTAAGTGTCCTATTTATTTCCCAGGAAAGGATTGCTTTTTACTTTGTTTAGCTCTAATAATGAAATTTCTCAGTGCTTTTAAACTCTAATAGAAGTATCTGTAGTCCTAAGACCAGGTTGTCTCTTTGGTATTTGTATTAATGTGTATTTGTGACTCACTTTCTCCTGGCATATAGTCATGGCTGTCATGAAGGTGATGCTTGTTGCTTCTAGGAACGAGGGCCACGGTTGCGCCATCAGGGACCTGCATCAGACAGCAGCTGTGTAAAATTTTCCGCAGGCACACAAACAGTTACAGAAACCTTTATTCCTTCTACGCTTTTCCACATTTTGTTGTATTGAAGCCACAAACTGTCATTTGTTTTAAACTGACTAAACAAACTTTACTGCTTTTAGCTATTTTAAATACATTTGGACTGATATACAGGAAAGTTTGTGTTTATAATTTGAAAAGATATCGAGAGGGAAGCGAAGAGACCTGACCTTGTAGTGCTGTAATGTATTGAGACGCTTCCAAGAGCCTTGTACTACTGATGTCAGGTCCTCATCTGATAGGATGAGATGTCCTGCAACCCCTGCCCGCCATTCTGCAGAGGAGAAACATTGATCATTAAACACTTAAGACTTTCAGGTCACAGCACGAAGAGAGTAACTGAAGCAACTTTTTACTCCGCTTGCTGAACTCATATCTTCATGGGGTACTTGCTTTACCTCATCCTAATGTTTTAGTAAAGGTGGCCCATAAAAGTAAACCACAGAAAATCCTTCTGGATAACAATAATCATTTAAGTTGCACATTTAACTTTTTTAATCAAATGCAAGCCAAACATTTGGCCACCAGGCTCCGTTATCATATGAATTACACATTCAGACCTTTGTTTTTGAACTAAGATGCACTAACCAAGATGTAGGGAATCTACGTGTGGCCTCTGTGAAAAAGACATTCCTTTCCAGGATTGTTCCAGAACCTTCTCCTTCACTTGAGTGATGGTGTCACAGTCCAACACCTTCGCAGGGACCGTCTGATTGGTGGCGCCTCCGCTGGCAGTTGCAGCCGGTATCACAACATTCAGAGTCTGCACAGGGAAATGGGAAAGTTTTAAAATAAACTATTCAGATCAGAGACTTTGAGAGAGGTTTCTCAGTCTGACCGAGATCCACAGTTAGAAAAACAAACCAAAAAGTCGTCCTTATGGCAAAAGAGTTTTCAAATAAAGCCTTCTGTGTCATAAAACATGAGAGCCAACCTGACAGATGTTGACATCAAGAAGGAATACAGGGCCTGCAAAAGCATTTTTACCTGTTGGTGTTTTTATTTCATCATACTGTTACAATTAGAAACTTAATTTAAGTTTTTGGGGGGATTTAAAGCAGCATATCAACAAAATGGAGCCTCCAACTCTGAACTGAAATATAAAGGACAGATGGAGGATGAACAAGGTCAGAATCTACTGTAGTTTTGTTATCCAGGGTTTATACAGGCATGAGTAACTCTAATTAAATGCTTTTTAATGCAGTTAGAAATAGTTTTAATGCCATCAACAAGTACCCTAAGAGTTTATACTATATATCTCAAAAACACAGCAAAATCCTTCGTCATCTTTACCGTCAACAGGCTGCAGCCATCTCCCGAATTCCTTGTTTTCCAGCCACTTTTGTTGAAATTAGCATTTTCCCATTCTCTAGTTTTTTCTCCGTCTCAAGCTTCTTTTCTAAACATACGGCTTTATGATCAACTGGAACCAGTTATATCTGATATATCTGAGGAAATTGCTTTTATAATTTTTTTTTTTTTAATTAAAGATTTTTAAATGCCACAATAATAACTTTTCATGAATTTTAATGCCAATTAAGAATTGAAAAAATTTTTAAAAATAATAATTTAACAGCTTTTAATGATGTATAATGACCCGCGGAAACCCTGTTATTACAGACTCTGACCTGGATATTGGTGCGGATTTTGTGTGAGCCCTTTAAAAAAATGTATACACTTTAATTTAATCCAGAGCTTTATAATAAATTACCATATTACCATAAGACAGTAGTCATATAAAAGTCCTCGATGCAACATGTAGAAGTTTGGAATAATTTGAGGTGAAATGCTTTTTAAAGCGTGTTGTCAAAAATATAAAAGACCATTTGATGAACCCTCACTGTCCTTAGATCCCCAATATAGATCTGAGAAATCCTGATGATTATTTGGAATTCATAAAGTATGTTTGAATTGAATTGAATGGGGAGCAGTTCTTAGGACATTGAAATTACGGTATGTTAAAGGAAGAGTAGAGACAAAAATATAGGTTTATTGCAATCTACATTATAATTATACTTCGATTTCCTGATGAAGCTGAGAGTTGAACAACTGAACTGTATCTCTTTCTAATTTGTCCTCCTTTTCTTTAACTCCAACTTAATGTTGCATTTCTTCTAATACAAAAGCCCACAGGATAATGCTGCCACCACCATGTTTCGCTGCTCCAGTCCTACCATACCTTTTATTAAGGATGTTCAGAAAGTTTTTTTGGTCCCTCTGACAGGAACTAATCGGTCTTCTTACAGATTTCTTTAACCTGTTGCTTTCTCATTGCCATTAAGGTCAGATTTAGAGTGTGTATAAGAAGTAAATACAACAACAACAACAACAAAAACAGACAAAAAAAAGTGATATGAAGACTATTAGAAGCCACTGTTAAAACACTGACATAACAGATTTTTCTGGTAAAAACTTTAATGAAAATCTCTTAGAAACAAGGTGGATTAATCCTCACCAGGGTGCGGTATTCCACGTCCTCTCGCAGCAGCCGGTTATCATTGAGAGTATACTTGGCTTTTCCGGTCACAGCGTCCACAGGTCCCTTGTCCACCTGGTGTTTTATTGCTCTGAACAGCATGTAGAACGACTCCCCTGCTGATTCCTGGCCAAGCAGAAAGGATTTATTCATTTAGGACTTCTTCCAACACCAAGTGTTCTCTGTTTAGACAGCCAGCTCTGACTGGCTTCCCTTCATGACTGGATCTGACATACTGTGATTTCAATGCAGGCGATCTGGTTAACAGCCTTATCCCATGTTTATGAGAAGATAATGCAGCATTAAAAAAAACCCACTATAACTATATGAAAACAATAAGATTTACATGTCAGAGGACAGACGTGTCTTAAAGGACGACTCTGACTATACAGATTAGTGGGTTGGATCTGGACCCTATTCTCTAAGGTGGAACAAGGACCCCCAAATACTGGTATCTACAGTAGATATTGTAGCATTTCAAATATCTCACCATCAAACAAGAAAATTCTTCAGGAAGCTGAAACATCACTGTTTTTTATTTTCTCCAATGCCTAAAAACATGTGACTTAAAATTTAGGTTTGAATAAACAGAAACAATCTGAGTTTATTCCTTCACCACAAATCTTTAACAAACAACTAAGTAAAATTTTCTTCCGCAATCATATTATAGTTACATAGTAATCTGTCCATCCATCCATTATCTGATACGATTTATCCCGAGTGGGGTCGCGAGGGGTGCTGGTGCCTATCTCCACCTGTCTACGGGCGAGAGGCGGGGTCCACCCTGGACAGGTCGCCAGTCCATCGCAGTACATAATAATCTAATTATGTTATTTTAAAGGAAAATAAAATCATTCCTTTGGAAGACCATCCCATTTACCTGTCCAAATTAAGAGCAAAAATGTTATTTTAGGATTTTCTTTCTCTTATTTTTAGATTCAGATTTTGCAGCGTTTAGATAAGACTATGTTATGTTGTTGTTATGTTAACTGTGAGTGATTGAGGCAAAAGAGCAGAAAACAAAAGTCCACTTTTTACTAAAATTATTAAGAAACACGTACAAAACATAAAATAATAATAACATAAGTAAAGCATATGAAACAACATTCACACCCAATCTAGAGAGGATAACACAGAGTATCGGAACTGTTCCTTAGTCTCCTACTTGTTGAAATGTTTGATTAACTAATGGAAATTGTGTTGAATTATGGTTTTTTGGCTTTGATACCCCTAGTTTCACCTTGAGAAGCAAATAGGACTAAACTTCTCCCATTAAACGTTCATTGTGTTGGAGTCTTTACAGAAGTAAGAGGCTGTGAATAAGAGCAAAGAAAACTGGTATTTTTATATTTCACCAACTAGACATTCTGTGACAGAAAAATATAACAGCCCTGTGATGTTTATCTGTATCTGTGTCACAGAACTTTAATTTATTAAGTTGAAAAGCACTCTATCATATAATTATTATATAAAGAAGTGGTATAAGAATACGTTTTATAGTTTTTGTCTGGTGTCAATCTTGTTGGGGTTTTTTTGGCTGTCCGGTCACAATATTGAGCATTGAGAAAATACTAATATAGCTTCAACTTTTTTAGATTTCATTTTTTCCCACGAACCTATGGTACCATGCAAAGCAATTGGACCTTTTATCCATTTCAAGGTCAGAGTAATTCATTCATATTAGTCATATATTCAATAATAATGACAGGGTCATAACTACGGGATTTTTCTTTTACATGCTGGTCACTAATTCTTAGTGCTTCAAATTATTCTTTCATTTGAAGCCATAAATTCTTGTCTGGTTTACCATCTGGGAGATCTACAGCAAACCGATCTAAAATCAAATCCTTCTGATCTTTGAACCAGTTAGTTGCAGTATTAGTTTTTGTAAAATGTTCTCCAGTTTTTACTCATGATAGGGTATTTAGGGGGTCACGGACACAACTGAGAATATCTCTACTCTCCTGGATTACAAGCAATTTGAAAGCTTCATACCTACAGAATTTACCTTTACCTTATAGAGTATTACTACAATATATCCTAAACAAAGCACCAATACTCACTTGTCTGTCCTTAAACCCACTGCTGGATTTCATTCTGTTTTTAGTTGCATCCTTAGAAATGTACCCTCTTTGTTGCCCTTTTTACAAGGCCCAAAAATCTCCAACCAAACACCTGCCGCACTCTAGACAAACTCCACACCTGGAGCTTTGACTTCGGGTCTTCCTAAAAATATTGATAATGATAATGCTTCCACAATTTAAGCTTTTTTCATCATGAATTATCATACATCTGATTACTCTGTACAGTAATTTAAAGATTCTTCACTGCCATACTGAAAGACTTTGAAATTATTGAGTCCCCAGCCGGTGGTTTAGTTTAAAATCCAGCAGGACATACCCTCAGGAAGGTGTAGAGACAAATGGACATCCAGTTTGTCAGCAGTTTCTCCACCACTGATTCCGTTCTGGAGAAAAAGAAAAGGGAGAACAAAGAAACCTCAAGCAGGTGGATAACAAAGGTTTCTTGCTCATTTTTTGGTAAAAGAGTTCTCACCTTCTCAGCATGAGTTTGGGATTTTTGGCCACATATTGTTCCACCAGGTCATTCAGCAACGTTTTAAGGATGTCTGTGAAGTACTCCAGTTTTCCGTGCAGGGCCACAGTCAGAAGAGAGGCCACATAGGCCCGGTCCCTGGGGGAAAAGGTCCGCTGAGCCTCAAGGGTGTGAATAAACTGCAGGGACAACATGCAGAAGATGTAAAAAAAAACTGTTGCTTTATGTGAATAAATAGAGAAGCTGTAGCTTTGAGGGTTTTACTTTGGTCAGAAAGAGTTTGCTGTTGAGCAAATTGGACAGCTGAACCAGGCCCTGCTCCACAGTCTGTCTTCGGCTCTCTGGAACATCTAGATCTCGCCTCAGTGGCGACTCCTGGTGGCCTGGGAAGAAAATGCGTTCTGCGAATGCCCGGTAGTCGAGGAAGGGGATCCCCGAACCCACTAAATCGCTGGACATGTCCATCATCTCCGTCATCAGGTCTATAAAATGAATAAGGATCTCAGTGAGTTCACTCTCAGGTGAAAGAGCAAAAGTTGGTAGGGGAAACGGACTTACCCGTGAACTCCTTCTTACAGCGGTCCCTCACACTGGTCTCCAGGTTTTCAAGCTGGATCTGTACTTTCTTATAGTCTCTCATGGCCTGTTTGCTCTTCCTCCTGATAGAAACAGAGTAAGCACAGATTATTTTATATTAAATGCATGAAGAAGGAATGACTGAATAAAAAAATAGGTTTACCTGTAAATAAGCACGATGATGAGCACGATGAGAGCTACGATAGACGCTCCCACCCCGACTCCCACCTGAGCCTCCAGAGGAAATGTAGACTGGGCCTGGATGTCATATTGCACTCTGCCCAGGGAGAAGTTCAGATTTCCCATTTTCACCTGGAAGTGAAATGCACACAGAAATTCAGATATTCTCTGGTTTATCTAAGAATATGGATCACATTTACACGTCTACAGCTTTGGTAACATCATGAGGCGTCATAAGGCAATCGAAACATACATCAGTAATCCAACCATTTTAAATCATTTTTTTAAGGTATGTCCTGCATTTGTTTTTAATCTCTAATATCCTTCTCCAGAATCATCTTGTGTTTTTGGCTCAACCCATCTTCTCATCAATTGACCATTTTCTCATTCCACCTAAAGAGAGCGAACTGTAGAGACTAATGCTGAGTCCTCTACGTTCCCTTCTGACTTGTTTAATAATGTTCTCTGAAAACTTCTGAGGCCTTCAAAATACAGCAGTATTTGAGAAGTTGACCGCTGAAGGTTGCTCAGTTGCTCTGGATTTTATTCTATAATAATCTGAATTTAGATCATTATTAGAAATACAAGACCATTTAAAATGATGCATTATTTTTTGGTGGCACCTAAATCCCCTTAATACAACCTAAGGTTCGTGTTTTCATGAGTCTGGCACATACAGATTATTCCCCTCCTGCCTAAGGGTTCTCTTGAGAGATTTAGTCTCTAAAGATGATCTTTTAAAATATTCCATCATTTAGGGCAGATTGCTAAAACAAATCATGCTTGTTAAGAGATGTTATACAAAAAAAAAAATTTAAATTAACATTTTTCAATTAGTTATTTTTTGTTTGTACTTGGATACAGATGCTTCTAGTGCATCATTATTAAATGTATGGTGGAGGGTGTTTTTTTTTTTCTTTTTTTCTGGGTGGATCATCAAAATAAGTGGTCCTCCTAATTGTCAATCATTCTGGTGATATGCTTATGTAAGGCTGTCCTTGCTTGTCCCAAGGTAGCTGTTTTACCTGTAGTAAAATTGCAAATCTTCTTTTGGAAAGAAAGCTTGTATGAGCGATGCAAAAAGCAACTTTTAAACAGTGCAAGCATGGGGAGAAATGGGCTCATGCATGCTCTCACACGCATTTAAAAGGCGTTCCCTCTTAGGAGCAGGTAAAAGGTTGTGCATGTGCATTTTTTCTTAAACGTGGAAAGGGTGGGTCTTTTAAGAAAATTGTGAAAATCCTCCAAAAATAAGAAAATCTAATAGTTTGTAGGTAAATAAATGAAAGCTGTTATTAAGACCAAATTCATCTTTGAAAACAAAATGTTTTAAAGAAGGTGCATCTCGCTTCATCTGACTCACAGTGAACTCGGGCAGACTTTCCATGCCATCGTGCTTCCTATTGGTTGTGATTGAAGGCTGCTGAGCTGTTGGCTCACAGTACAGGTGGTTGTGGGTCAGGGTCTTCACCACACACAAGCCCCCTCCTATCCGGGCCTCCACCTCGTGCTTGTACATGGCAAGGTCCAGGTTTTCTCCCTAAAAGACAAAGTAACTTTTACGTTTTGACCTTAATTAACAGCAGCAACAATTTCATCACCGTGTGAGTGAATAAGTCCACTGCTGGCGCAAGGGTGTAACTTTGTAATGAAAGTTGGTGGGGACACTCGGGGGGGTTGGCTGATGGACCTACAGGTACTCCATCCAAACGCTTTTATTAGGTTTCTGTAAATGAGCTAAAACATTTATTTAGTGAATGCTTTCCTCTTGTTGAGAATATAAGAGAACCATAATACACTGATATTTATATTTATAGATAGTTAGAGAGACGCCTCTTTATGCCTTACATTATAGGACCCAAAAACATTAATGTATAAAACAAATGACGAATAAAAGTCGATTCGGATGCCAAAATTGATATACCATGCATCCCTAGAATGTAAATTCTAGGGATGCATGGTATTCCATCCATCCATTTAAATTCCATCCATCCATCCAGAAAAATAGATATGCTTCATTTTAAATATAGCATATTTATTTCTTGTAAGCTTTGTGGCAAACTTAAAGATCTATTTTATTTCATGTTGCATATCCCAGTAAACCTGTTTAACCTTTAAATCTGCAGCTCTCCCTACTTCTCTCTGTACTCTGCTTAAAGAGATTTATGAACCTCTTTACTAATATGATTCCAGAAACAAAATTTCAAGATAATGTAGAAGCTCTGCAGTCTGATACTGTCTGTACAATAAGAAAATATGTGTTAATTTTAACCTGTAACTGGGAGTCATGGTCCTCTGAGAAGCAAAGATTTCTTTAACTAGTAAAGAAGAACAAACTATGTTTTCTCAAGCTTCCAGCATTATAATTCTAACTTGTATTAACTTACGATCTACTGCAGTTTTTGCTGAAAAAGCTCTGTATGTCTAACGAATGGATTTTTTGGTGGCATCTCAAAATGTTTTTTATCCAACATGTCTCCTAACTTTTACTTAAACATATATCAAAGTAGCTGCTAGTTAAATTCACTGAGTGCTGCTGTGCGTCTCTCCTCCAATCACGTAGCTACTACGTACGCAGTGAAATGCGACCGCAAATCAGATGTCTCAAAGCGACAGATCCGATGATGTTGGTGGAGACATGTCCACACCAATCCTTTAGAAAGTTACGCCTGTGTGCTGATGTTCTGAATCAAAATTACTGGTCCAAACAGTTTTAATGGTTTCATGCAGAAAGAAAGACAGGAGACAAAGCTCACCTCGACAGAGATGATGCTGCCGGGTTTGTGGTGGTACGGCTTGTTTGGGTCGTTCGTGTTCAAGGCAAACAGCTTGGGGTTGGGCTCATAGCTGAAGGTTTCACCACCCACAATGCTGAAATCAAAGTGGAGGCTGTCCAAAAGGAAGTGAACTTTGACCCTGGCCCCTTTGGCCTCTGAACCCACTGCCGGAGTCGGACACAGGATGAGAGTGGAGTTGTGAACTGTGCAGCGGGATTCATACTGAAGAAGAGAAAAAGGGAGCTGTAATCTTTAGAGTCACAAGTCCACTCAAACTTCAAAGGAAAATAAAATGAGAATCAAACCGACTTGTTTCACACTGCAGAGTGTTCCCTCTGGGCAGTTTGCTTCTGGAACAATCCTCCTCCATCTCCTCAGAGGACCTCTGTGTTTCTGTCCTCTGTTTAGGTGGTCTTTCATTTTCTTCCTGATGCTCCTCCTCCGTCTGGGAGGCAGAGCATCAGGCGGACTGAGGGTCACTCTCATTTTTGGCTCCTGGACGACATCCAGGTTGTGGCCTTCGACTTTGATGATCCTCCCTCCACTTGAATGCCAAAAAAATTAATCAGTCTTCACATATTGATTTTCTAAACTTAAAGAACCAGAACTTTTTAAAGCAGTTCCTTTGGAGTAATGGAGCAAACTACCTGAGGAAGCTTTTAGATGGAGCTGCCCTTGTGATGTTTGGGTTTGGGGTGTAATGATACACTAAGCCCTGCAGATGGCGCTCTGCTCCACCAAAGCGGACCATGATGCTGTGCTCTCCTGTCCGGTTGCTGCCTCTGGTCAGACATTTGATCTGATCCTCCTGGATGTTCAGCCTGAACATAAAAGATATTTCTTCTGTACTTTCTCCACAGAGTCACTCATAAAACACATCAGTTGCCTTTAATAGTATATATATTTTTATTAAAACGCCCCTTGGGGACCCTTACACTGTGCAAGGCACTCCTCCTATCAGGACTCCGACCTCACTTGGATGACCAGTCCTCAGTTTACGACCTCTGATGGTGAGAGATGAGCCCCCTGCTTTGGGTCCTCTTAAAGGAAAAATGCTGCTAAGAACTGGATTCTGGACATGGATGGAGAGAAGAAGGAGCAAATATAAAGTGGGGGATGTAAATATTAAATGGATGGAAAAAGGAAAACAAAAATTGTGTCAATAAGCCAATTCTGAGCATGTGATTTATTAGGGAGATAAAACAGAGCCCAAGGGATTGTGGGAAACACGTAAATGTGGCCTCAAAGCCTTGTAATGTATTAATTAGGCTTCCTTGTCATCTGTTTCATTAACATTGCTGTAAAAGATACCATGTTTTACGATGATGTAAATAAGCAGACACGTTGTTCCTCTTGGATTGCAGTGATTCACTTACATTTCATCAGGCACTAATTAAGAAGAGCCATGGGGGCTGGGGAGGGGAGGGGGGCTTTTTTCTAATTGGACATTTATCTTAAAAGCTTTTTCCCCCCTTTCCTGTGTGATTTGTCCCACTGCTGCATTCAGTCATCTGCCACATCAGACAACATATTCCTTAAATGAGGCATATCAGTGTTTATTTACCAGAAAATGAGCCTAAGAGAAACCACTGTCTTTGAACAAGGTGTAAATTACCCCCAAAACATGGCTGTATTTGCTAAATGTTTGTTTATCCACTTCTTTGCAGTAGATTTTTATAAATAGTATGAACTTTTTTATTTATTGATATTTAGCTTTGTATGTTTAGTTTAATGTTGTCTTTGAGAGAAACATTGTTTTTATAGCCAGTTTAAAGGACAGGAGAAAACTTTAAAGAGATATAATTTCTCAAGTGATTGTTGTACATAGTGTGTACAGATACAATCACATGGATAAAGCAAGCCACTCCCAGGTCCCATTACTGCCTGTTGAATTAAGAATTCACTAGAACCTGGCTGACAACATGAAGTTGGCTAAAACACCCAATTCAAAAAGCAAAAGCAGAAATACAAGGTGGAAACACCTTAAAGAGACACTTTATGTTCAAAAACAATGTAAAACATCATTCTTCAGCAGATGTCTGCTTACTTCTTCATGGGCATTTTTAATAATATCATCAGCATATGCTTTGTGTGCAGAAGCATTAGGGAGACAATCTTCATAAAATTTATTAACACAATCATATTCAATGAATAAATATACTGTTCCTATAATGAGGCACAATCATGGGTGGTTCTAGACAGGGGCCAGCGGGGGCCAGTGCCCCTGTAAATCATGTCCTGGCCCCATGTTATGGCCCCTGTTATGAAGAAATAATACTTAAAACAAATTTTAATGATGATATGCGCTGGAACAGACATGGTTACTGATAGGTCCTTTGGATCTATTTAATGTTTTTCTTTACAAATAATGTTTTACTAATTGTTTAAAAACAATAAGGTGATAGCTTCAGTCGTATTGAGATATGATCCCATGTCTCATCTGCTCAATGATTTTTTTCCCCAGAACAAATTTAAAATAAATACTCAGGGTCTGATGTATTACTCGGGTCCTTGATGTTTTACTGTAAGTGGAGAGTTATAATTAACATAAATAGTAGCTTAAAGGAATTAGTATGTATGTTAAGAATCTATGTAATATGTTTCTTAACAGATTATGATTAAATGAAATTAATGAACCTTTCAATAATAGTCTAATTACTTGATGTGGTCCAAATAAAAAAAGAAACAGATTATAGATCTTGAGGTGTGCCAATGTTAAAATGAGCGTATCAAAAGTAATCATTTAATAAGAATCATGACTGTACTGACCTGAAAACTGAACATCTGAGCTGATTGCCCATCTCCTCCTCCTCTTACTTTGACAAAGGCATTGCCTGTAATCTCCCCTCCACTGCTTGCAGTCTCACAAACTATCCTACAACACATAATGACAGTTGTTATAAATATAAAAATGGATGCGCTGCTTGCTCGAGGCAAGCAGAGTGTGTGGAGTTGTGCAAACGGCTTGCCTCGATGAGACTTCGTATCTGCTGTGAATGACGGTGCATGGCACGTTGGCCACTGTGACGGAGCTCTCTATGTCCTCTGCCCTCTGACCAAGATTAGAGCCAGAAATGGTCACCACTGTGCCTCCCTCGATCGGACCAGACAACGGGTCCAACTGAAAACACAGGAAAACCACAAATATGACATATATTTTCTGACTGATTATCAACAGTTAGCTGTGTCTTTTATTTAATTTTATTGGATACATACTAAGACATTCTAATTAGTTTGTGAAATATCACAAATGGTTTGGACTTGAAATGAACATCCAATCAACAGCCATCCTAAAAATGGAAACTTTTTTCTAAGCTTTTAAAAAGTATCAGCTTTTTGTCTTCAAGTTCTGGGGAATAATCTTATCCGTTGGTAGTCCCAAATACAAATCTTTTTAAAAAAAAAATTCTCCTAATACTGTGTCTGAACACTTCGAATGTTTCTGTATCCACTGAGCTTCGGTTCCAGCCATTCACTGTAACTCCATCTTCATCTCACTGTGTACTTTAAAGAGTCTGAGAAGCACATGACAAAACGGTCTTAAAAGTTTATGAGAAGCAGAGGAAGGCCTCAGAAGAGAGAAAAAAGATCAGACTGTATCTGGAAGATTCTTCCACTCGATGGCTGAAGAGCAGTTATTTAAAAAATGACCTAGGCGTTTTTTTTACACTTAGTTTCCAGAAAAATCATCCTCTATGCCTTTTTTTCCCCATAAATAAAAAAACAAACAAAAATATATTACTTTGGTTTCAAAGGAATCTAGGATAATTGGCACTGGAAACTTGAGTGTTTATTTTAAGAACTTCATACACCTATTTTATGAGCAAAAAAGTAGTAGAATAAAGCTGAAATGTTACTAAGAAAGTGACACCCGTTCCTTCATGCGCCCTTTCACTGTTTTGAAATTGAAAATGTAGTTGGTACATTTTCCCATGGATGACACAATCAAACGTTGTCTTATCAAGCAGGCCCATCATGTTTAAACTTGACTCCTAATCTTTCACTTCATCTACACTCCAAACAGAAGAGGATGTGCTGTATGTGACAGTTTGAAACAGTTCCTCTGCTCTAATGTGTGAACTACCATCATAACTTTACTGTAACTAAAAAAATTTATCCATCTTTTATTATAGCGCCAGAACCTGTGGTATTTCATTTGTGTACATTTTATGGCGTCATGATTCTGCAAAAAGTCCACACCCTGATGAATACTCTTAGGGGCAGCTTTACTTCATAAAGACGCTTATAAACTCTTCCTCACACACATGTTTAGCATGTTACATACGCACGCAGCCCCACTGCTCCTGCTGTGTGAACCTTTTCCAGTGCGCTCAACTTTTGTCCCTTTGCAAGCATCACCCACCAGTAAAGCAACTTGCAAGTAATTGGTTACTTTTCATGAAATTCCGCATTTTGATTTGTGAAGCATTGCCACGGTAACAACTGCAAACTATCTTCCTGCTTCCAGCTAACGTTTGAATTGGCAGAAGCTACTGGGTATTTGATCTCGGAGCTCGTCAGCCTGGCTGTGTGTTTCCTGGACGAGGCCGCCTGTGGAGCTGGTTGACAGTTGCCTTTTGTATCTTTGCTTCTTTTTCTATGTCTGCTTCTGTCTCCTTGAACCCCAGTCGGCCTCAGCAGATGGCTGTTCACACTGAGCCTCATTCTGCTGGAGGTTTTTTCCTGGTAGAAGGGAGTTTTGCTCTCCACTGTCGCTACAAGCATGCTTGGTGTGAGGGATTGCAATCGAGTCAATAAGTCGATGCAATCAACTGGATTTCCTTAGATAGAAAACTTTGAATCAGTTTGACTCTATGATCTGGCTGAATTGTCTCTGTAAAGTGCCTTGGATGCCATCCCAAGGTTGTTGTAAATTGGCACTATATAAACAAAATGAATTGAATATATTATAATATTTTAGCATAGAGCTCCTCCTCTGTCCTGAGTCCACCTTAATATGCTATTCCTGCATCCGCTAACCACAGATTTCAATAGGATTGTGTTCTAATGGAGGGATTGCCATGAAGAGGGTAAATTACATGCTGATGTGTCCATATTTTCTGGGTCACTTTAATGTTGAAGTGTTAATGATGCCATTATGGTTCCTTCAGAGCCTTAAGGAAAAACAACAACAACAAAGACCTTCCGCCTTCCTTAACAGTGGGAAAAGTTCCTCCTCATATATTCTTAGACTAAAATTCCCCAAAATTATTAGTTCCTAAAAATCTTAATCTGATCCAACCAAAGCAAACATTTTTTTTTAGCAATTCCACATTTTAAAATCGCAATGGAGCATAAAGAAAATGATTTTAGCTCTCAAGAAACTTAAGACAGGATTTTACACATACTCGCTTGATATGGAGGTGAGAGGAATATCTCTTTTCCTTTAGCTGTTTCCTAAGGATTAACATCAACTGTCCCCACTGTAATAATGTTTTGCTTTATTTTCTATTTTTTTAAAGAGGGGCTTAAATAAATGATTCTATTATATTTACCTCCCCAGCAAAGAGACAGAAACTAGATTAAAAAAAACAATCGACAAGATTATACCAATGCAATAAAAAATGGATAAAGGTCCAAGTCTTTCCAGATATGCCAATCAGAGTGGAGGGATATATAAAGACTAATAATCAAATACATGGAGTACAAAGTTTATGCCAAAAGTTGTAGACATCACACACCTACAGCAATTGAACCTCAAACTGTTATCTGGTAAACATGCCTTAAAGTACAGGAAAGAAAAGAAGCTCCAGCATGGACTTCATTCAAAAAGTTTTTGACAACTACATGAAGAACAAGCTTTGCTCTCAGCACATGATGGTTTCTGCATCTTAATGCAGAAACCATCATGTAATATTCTTATGTAGCAGAAGACTTTCTAACTCCATCTAGAGTAGAGATATCCCTATTTCAGGTGTAAGGATTTCAAAGGATCTTACAAAGTGAATGACAGGTGCGGGGCAGGTGTGTTTGATCTCATCAGCACAGGAGTCTCGATACACGCAGCTGGAGCTGGAAGCTCCACCGCACCAAACGCAGCCGTACTTTGGGTCAGCCGTTCGACACCTGCTGCAGTCTGATCGGCCCACTGAACAGTTGAACAGAGTCACTGAGACAATAGAGGATAAAGAGAAAGAGAGGATGGGATTTATTGGATGATTACACAATAAACTGGTTTAATTAGATTGTGACACATCAAGGGGCTTTTTCCTACAAATAGAAAGACATACAGCAACAGAACTCACCCTGCAGATCCTCAGCGCTGTCAATCAGGAAGTTGTTTTTTCTCCTGACGTTGATTGTTGCTGAGTATTCCTCCATTAGTAGGGAATAAACGTACTGCAACAGAAATAGGTTTAGGGGTCATTCCCGTATTTGGCACAAATGAAAAAGTTGTCTGAATGTGTGAAATCTAATCTTCTGGCTAACTCTGTCCTATTCTACAGTTGAACCGTTAATACAATGCTTTGTCCTTCAATGAAAAGTAAAAAAAAATACATTGGAATCCTAACCTCTACCTGAAAAGCTTTCTTAAAACCCTTTTATTGCCAAAATAAAAATAATGTAAATGTTTACATTTCAGGATTATCCTAAAAATCTCTTATACACAAACAGGTAATTATTAAAAGATCAAACAAGGGTGCCAGGAGATTGTGAGTGCTGCTCACAATTGATAATAATACAACTAGGATATTCAAAGAAAAAACATATTTTTCTGTATTTTAAAAATCTTTAAATTATGTGGTAAATAAATCCAAACAGGCCTCTTTGTTTAAAACATTTTTCTGACCCTCTCTCTCCAATAGGAATACACTTCTATATTAGATACTGTAAAATTTGAACAGTCAGAGTTGCTACTGTTGCAGAAACTGTTTTCTTGACTAAAAACATCTCTCTAGTAGGAATACATCTAATGGATCTGGCAACCATATCGGAAGTAGTAAAAAAGTACCAAAGGGTTCAGAGTTCGGTCCAATTCGCTTTAGGGCAAATGGTCACCAAGGCAAACTCCTTATGACTTTAAGCAGCTCGTGTTCACTATGTTTATGTTTTATCCAACTATTACACTGCTGGTTAGCCTAAAGTGTTGTAGTGACGGAGCAGCTTAAAGAACACAATTGTTGATACACATCTGCATGCAGAAGTAACAATGCCAGGCAGAAATAAAAAGCTAAGTGTCTGTTCTGCTGCATGTTTTAATTTTCAAGAGATAGCAACAATAGCCTAGCCTGGGTGCTAACAATAGCCTATTTCCCACTGAAAATACGGGTTTACACGTGTTTTTCAACCCGCTAACAATCGGCATTTCGCTCTCTTCCAAAAGAAAAGCTGGGTCTAACCCCCCGCTGGCAAGCTGAGTGCCCTCTGTCCCGCTGCCGTTGCTTCTCAGGTGATACCTTTGTGATGTGGTGGCGTTGATGATGTCACCCGTGTGACAGAAATCATGATAGTAAACAATGGAGAGCAACATGTACTGTACATAAGGAAGCCAGGGTGTAATAAATGTTTCACATTTTTATCTTTCCAAATCCCGCTCATCCTTGTTTATTGAATTTCAACAGAGTTGTTTTGGTTTGTTAGATTAGTCGTAACCCAACTTCATAAAATTTACTTGCATATTTTAAGACTTTGAGTAGGAAACTCAAAGTTGTTTTCCTTGAAAAATAAACCGTTAAAAGCCCCAAATGTAATTTGACATTGATAAACATGTCTAAATGTTAACTTTTGACAAGAACTATAGGTGAATAATTATAATTAAATGTTAAACCACTTAAATCATGTATATATATTAAAACAACACCTGCTTAGACATTAGATCAAAGGTTTAATATGTAATAATCTTTGTTATTCTACCTATATTTACTCTCAGATCAAAGAGGAGCTTTTTACTGACTTGGTGTGGCTGACAGGTGATAAAGAAGACTGATGGTTGACCAGCATCTGGTTCTACGGAGGCCTCAACCACTACGGACCGATTCTCCACATCCAACACACACTCATAATCCAAATCCTCATCCTGAAACACAAAGAGAAGAAGAAACATAGCTCTCTTTGGCTTATAATTTGCAATTTCTTTAAGGACATAAGTGATATTTTCCCCCTTTTTAAACAAAAAGAAAATTATGTCCTGCAACATTGAGCCAAAATGAACAGGAATGTTGTGCGAGTTTTTACTTGTAGTGTCTTTTCTTTTTACCTGAAAAAGATGGAGGTGTTGGCCCACCAATGTGATCTTTCTCTCCACGTTGACAGGGAGTAGAGAAGAATCCTGTATCCGCTCCACACACGGGCATTCCTGCTCACACATTGTATAACATTATAAACTCAACACTTCCTCTCTAAATACTAGAAAATGTCCTGATTCATAGCAGTTGCTGCAATCCACTAAAATGTTATCAGTTTGGCAGGAAGTGAATCATTTTTTTCAATCTCCCAAACCATGAACAGACAAAACAGCCATGCTTATCTGATCGGCTCTACCAGCAATAAAATGATCCACATTTTTTCAGCTTAAAAAAAAAAGGCAAATCATGTAGCAAAAAATAATATTATTTATAATGTAGGAGGTAGAAGAATGTAGAAGTATAGTAGAAGGTTAGAGATATGCATACAGCAACATGCTTGTATGTCAAAGGAAATGCTGAGTTAGCTCAATGTCATTACCTGCCTGTAGGACTTAATGAGGTGAGCAAAAATGATATGGAGAGAGCAGATGAGTCAATAAAACCTGTCAGGTTAATGCTTTAAATTACTCTGCTGCATCCACACATTGGAGACTGCATTGATTCCTCAGCCATCACAGCAAGATTTATAAACCATAGAGGCTTTAACAAACCTATAAGTGTAGTGCAGTAAACACTGGTGCCTAATATGAAAGCTTTTATCCTCTGGCATTAACAAGATCTAACAAAGGAATCATTTTGGAATTTTTGAAGAAATAATGATTATTTGGTGAAGTTTTCATCTTTTCTTGTGGGTAAGAGGTTAGTATGAAGACTCGTAAGTAAAATAAACAGCAAGCATTTATTTTTTTAAAGAGATTAATAAATCAGGTTCTGACCTGTGAATCTGAAAGAATTTCTGATGTGGTGGTAGATGAACATTAACATGATTGCAAAGAGCCAAGCGGAAACTTTCCTAACAAACTCAACGATTTATGCTAAGCTAGCAGGTAGTTTATCTCATAAACAAACACATTATTTTATGAATGAGAGGGAACCAACATATTGTTTGTACAGCCTTTACAAGTGGAAATCGGAAAAGTGAGGCATTTGTATTTATTCCCCCTTACTCTGTGATAGAGCAACAACTGATGGATGGTATGTCCATTAGCTTTGGTTATATCTATAAATTGATACATTTTCCAATTTTCCTTTAATGAATAGCTCCTGCTCAGTTAATCAGACCAGGCAGTTTAATTACAACCGTTCCATTACATGTTTGGCTGAGTCCCTGTTTCAGGTCTTTTGAAGCTTCTTACAGGTTTTCTTCCAGAATCGTCCACCCAACCAAACACCAGGCATCAATTAGACGTTGGTATTTAGGCTAAATCTGATCGATCTCATAGTCTACATTTAGTCCAAGAATAAAAAAAAAATTCGCCAATGTTTGGTCAGTCTGATTCTGTCCCGCTCGTACAAAAATAGACATCTTTTTAAGGGAAAGGTCCGGTCATATTCAGAATTCAAACTTCTAAAAATACTGTAAATATGGAATTATTAAATACTATTCAATAAATGATAATTGTTTTTAATTATGAGTAATTTTCAATTGAATGTGCTTTACGATAGATATCCATGTTTGTCAAAGAGTGCTACTGCCCCCTACAGGTTTTTGACGTCACAGTGCGGTATCAGCTGTTGAGCAAGTCCCAGTGTTGTTTGTCACAACGCGCTATTATCCAAGTCATCTTGAAAACATTCTTCTTCCAAATGTTGGCTACATATTACATGTTTTTTCTCTGGCCAGATGTTCGATGGTAAATCCTCCCTCCTCAAGATGGCAATCCAATGACAGTGGAGGATCATGAATCGGAAAGATTAAATAACTAATTTTTTTTTTATCCACTTTTACCAGATATATTACAACATCCAACTACCATGTACGTGGGCATTGTCAGTTTAACTATAGCTCTAGTGAATTTCAATGGTGAAGTCCTCTGGAAATCTTCAATAATTGTTGTTGATTGCAGATGTGTCTAGTAGTTCCCATTGATTTTGCTTGTAAACCAGGAGAATGGCGCTAGGCTTACCGCACCGTGACGTCACCGCTGGAAGATGCCAGGAGTGAGATGTTGCTATATTTGGGCAAAAATGATCGTTCCCAGACTCAGTGATCATTATGAAAATGATTGTTTTAATTTTTTAACTTATTAAAGCTAAATTCATTAAATTACACCTTTTCATCTTTATCTTTTCAACCAAATGTAGACGTGGTTTGGACGTAAATCCTGCCTTCTTTTCAATGTCTTTTCAACCAATTATTGCTCAGTGGAACATAGATCCATACCTCTGCAAATCATTTCACAGCAGCTGCTCTGCCCCTGCTAAAAAAAAATGATCTCCACATGATGCCATTGCAACAATGCTTTATGGTTAGGATGGCGGAAGGTATTTTTCAGCCAAACTATAATGGGTTGGATTATGGTCTATTTGGATTGAAGACCTTTTTTTTTCCACCTTTGACAGAACCCCTTAATCTTTGGTAGCAACCTACGAACAGGAAGTTCCCTGTTTTTTTTTTTTTTCAATAATGAATTCCTTGTTAAAATTCCTCAATTAAGGCTAGACATGTGAAGCTGCAACAAAATTAGCTTGGCGGCTTCTGGCCTTAATCCCCTCCATGCCTGGCCTGTCAGTTTAGGTGGAGAAGCTAACCCCTTCTGATTATGGATTAAAACGTGCTCTGTGAGAAATTCAAAGTTTGTGGGTTATAACCCAACACTGCCTCGGTCCGCAGCTTTTTCCCTGAAGTATCTGCTGTATTTTGATGGTCTTCATGATTCTGTTTGTTCACACATGTTCTCTAAAAACCTCTGAAGGTTTTCACAGAACAGCTGGATTTCTACTGTAATCATGTAAAGATATCAGAATAATGGGGCATAATTACAAAGGCACAATCACTATTTCATTTTCATTAAGAACAACAAAAAATACCCCACATCTTTTCGCCTACGTAATATTTCTATATTTTGTTTGTGTTTTAGATAAAATGTGTAGCTCGTTTTGTGAGGTTAATCTCTCCTTCCGGCTCATTGCGGAAACAGTAGATTCTTTCAGAGATTCACTAAACATGTTTTGCATCACGCTCTCATGGAAGCCTCTAAACTCACCAAAGTAAAAGCCTCAAAAGAAGAATCAGACTGAAGGTTTGTTGGAGATTCAAGACTGACATCAACAACTGTTTCTGGTGATGGGGTCGGGAAGAACGAACGGGCGACAGATGGAGTCACTTCAGAGTCCACCCCTGGTTCTTTCTGTGATTTTTCCCTGTCATTCATCCTCGTAGGTGAGACATTCTCCTCAGAAGTGGTCAGAGGAATGAACTCCTCGACCTCGCTGATAGAGTGGTCTATCAAAGGGGCCACTTCACTAGTAGTAGTGAGGTTTATCTCAGGGGAAGAACTCAAGGCTTCACTAGAAGGGACTAACATTCTCTGCGAAGAGTCTATGTAGCCAGTGGTGCTGCTTAGTGATGTGTGGCTCATTCCATCTGTGGCATTTAAGGTTTCCTCATCTTCTAACGAGCCACTGAGAGAACCAACAGTTTGTCTTGTGACTGCCTCTGTGCTGGAGAGGTTTCCATCTGTTGTGGAGACATCAGTGTCTGCCGTGCTGGTCTGGGTGGAGAGCCCGACAAAAGGGGAAGTTGTGGAGAAGGAAACTGAGGTGCTGGATTCAGCATTGGGGCTGGTGGTGGGGGTTTCTGTAATGGTGGTTGTGGAGACAGCTGCTGTGGTGGGGGTAGATGTCTCTGTGGGTGGTGACTGTGTTGTTGTAACGGCTCTTGTTGTTGTTGTTGGAGCAGTCAGAACAGAAGGAGGCGACGGGGTTGGATTTCGAGTTGGTGGCGGGATGGTGGGTGTTTGTGGTGTGAACTTGATGATGGAGAAGCACGAGCAAAGACGAGGCAGAAAAAAAAAGCAGGCGGGGGGAGAAAAAAAAATTAGGATGAAATAAATGATTTGGAGAAACAAAGAAAAAATGCAAAATGATATAAAAAGAATGTTTATGGATTAAGTCAAATGGATATAAAAAAGCAAAACAAACTAAATGAAGAAAAACTGCTCAAGTCAACTAAGGGGACTATGAGGAAAAACCAAGTGCTTTTAGCTCCTCGTCTGACTGGAAGGGTTGAAAAGAGCGCTGGACCTACGGATGACTTACGTGTCGGTTGTGGACGGTGACTCCTTGGCTGCAGGTGTGTTTATGTGTGCAGACATGCTCATGGATACACCAGTTACACCCCCAGCGGCTGCTCACACACCCTTGGCATCTGGCAGGGATGCAGGTAGAACAAGAGATTAAGATCAGAATTTCAACTCCAAATAAAGCAAATCTGTTAAATCTCATGGTAAATACTCTCTAAGCACATTTTCTTAATGTCTTCAGTCCAACATTGGATGTGACAAACAGAAAGGTTCTATAAGCCTGAATTAGATTTACGGTAGAGATGCATAGATCTTATATTCCTGGCAGATTTACAATCATTGTGTTTTGTAAAGGTTTGAAAAATCTCCTATTGGTTCAGTTCATTCAAGGTTCTTATAAGATATAAGAACATTTAAGATCTTGTTTTTCAAGCCATTAGGCCTTAAGTTGTTGATTATTTCACTTTCAAACATCTCGCTGTGTGAGAGGGAGTAGTTACTGTAAAATTGGATCTTCTTAATATTTCAAAATAAAAGGCAAACCGAGCTGCCGCTTCAAGGTCAACTGTTACTAACCAAACAGTTGTCTTTGTATTTTCAATAGAAAGTAGACTTTCGTTTAACCTGTAAGTATTCCAAAAGGCGTCAGAATTTTTTTTTCCAGCAACTTTCATGACAGATAAATGTGGAAGGCTTAAAAGGATCTTAGATCTAGCATGTAGAGACTTGTTCATCACTACTCTGAAAAAGACTGGATTTACATTTTTAGAAAAGACTGGGTCCTGGTCAGGTGGCCATTATCCAGAAATAAAACCATCATGACAAACATCAAATCTTTACTCTTTACTTTCCTGAATGGCACCTATACTCACGGTCTGCGGCCAGAAAGCTCCTGCACCAGGCTGCAATTGTAGAAGGTGAATTCTGTCTCGGCTACAGTCACGTTAATGAAACGCAGAGTTAACGTCACGGTTACAAACTCTGCATTGCAATAGGAGACACAAAAAAACAAAAACATTGAGATCAGTTAATCCTTTTAGCAGAATCGACTGTAACATTTTGCCATTCGATCAAAAGCTGCATATTTCTCCTAGATTCAGTTAGAACTCTATGCAGCATTATTGTGCTACCTTTTGTGAACATTAAGTATTTTAAAAAGTCTTTATAAATAAAAAAAAATAGTTTGAAAAAAAAGACAAAAAAAACAACAATAGCAAAAAAAGCCCATCAAAAAATGGCAGATCACATTTCTTCAGATACTCAGAGGAGCAGAAACAGAAAACTTTTAAGTATTGAAATGCAATTTGAGTTTTGAAAATGTTTCTGATATAAAGGATTTAACAATAACTCTGCTTTCACAAAGTCAAGCATTGTTTTAAACCTTTCGGGTGATAAGATTTTCTTAAACCTAATTGTTACATGTGGATATGATAATACAAGATACCACTGACATAATCTAAGTAATGTACAAATTACTTGAAAAACAAGCTATTTCATGAAAAAATTGTAAAAAAATTGTAATTTTTATGCCCAGGTATAGAAATAATAAACATACGTCAAAAAGTGCTTTTAAAGGTTTCAGAATTTGATTTTACAGGAACAGCCAGAGGCTAAGCTTGTCTATCATTTTTTAAATTGATTATTCAATTATTCAATAAAAATTGCCATCAACTCTAAAATTTTGAGTTATATCTGCATCTAACCTCAAATACAGGTCATAAGCCATCTAGTTAATTTCTTTCAGGCAGATTGAAAAGTGTATCCATTCAGCAAACATGCTGATAGCAGGATCATATACTGTTGACAGTGAATTCTACAAACTTGACAAAATGTTAAAAAAGGAGGGCTTCCTCCAAATCGTTCAACTTCACCTGAAACTTGAAATCAACTGGAGGTTTCAACACAACTACATTCTGAAATACACATTGGAGGTAGCTTTGGAAGAAGTGAAGCTGGGCTAAGATAAGCCTTAACAAAAATCCTCACAAAAAGGTAACCTCAGACATATCCAGAATCCGTGAAGAATGCTTAGAAGCAAGGATGAGAGCTAATGTAAATTAAATATGCCAATTAGAGTGGTCAGATATCAGACTAATATCACACCAGACGCTGTCAAACATTAAAACATATATGGGTAAGGTGTGATTTTACAAAAGAAAAACACCAGTGGTGGTATCTATATCTGACGCAGTACCAACATTTTTTGATTCCATGTAAACTTGTAATAAATATTTCTTTTTCCAACCTTAATAACATATTTTATGCATAAATATAAAATATGAATAGAAACTAACCGTCTCCCTGACTGATGGGGGGCAGGCTGCTGGCGTCCGGCGTGGAGCATATAACACCAGTGGTGGTGAGCAGGGCAGGGGTTTCTGTGTCCTGAAAGAAGCAGGAGTAGGCCTCGTCTTGTTGGAGACTGGGCAGACCCTCCACTGATAAAGCAATCTGAGTGGGAACAAACATTATGTGGAAGGATAGAAAGTAAAGAAATCAAACATGACTGTAGTGTTCCTCATAAAGTGGGTAAAAGTAGAGTTTCATTACTACAACCATGGTATAAAACAATGCTAAACAGCAAAATGAGGCGCATGGCTTTTATATGAACTTCTCTGTATTACATCTGCTTTCTCTCCACGGCTGATGTTGTAGAGGCTGAGGCGCTGTATGCTGAGGCACTGCTGCGTCTGATTGAAACTCCACAACCACTGGCCCTGCAAAGAGCCTCGCTGGCACTCCCACCGCTGGCCACAACTGAAACATCATGGCAGGATTACACATAACAGGATCATAAATGGAGACATGAAAGAAGCAGGGGAGATAAAACTCAAACTGAACACCCACCGTCCTTCAAGGACACACCAACCGCAGTAAGGGTCTCTGGCAGAGAGACAGGACAAACAGTCCAAGTGATCTCCGCATTCTGCTACAGGACGCTTCTCTACCTGAAAATGACAGAAGAACAAGCAGAACTTAGATCCTCACATACATGAGGAACACATCATTCTAAATGTTAAATAGCAAGAGTAGCATATTCTCATATTTTCTTTATAAAGTCCAATTTTAGCAATGTTATTTTTACAAAACAAAAAGCTTTAACTTCAAAACAGAAATATATCAAATCTAATAATGCAGTGAGGCTAAAATTCACATAAGTAAGTGGAAGTAGAAAGAAATAAATGTTTTTAACTTGCTTGATTTCAAGCTTAAGAATTGCAGCTTCAATTAACTTCAAAGACATTTGATGATTTGTATCTCACTTTGTTGCAACATGCTGAAGAGTATTTTTTTATTTAGTTTCTTAATTTGGACTTTAAATCTTTCTTAACACAATACAAACATTGGGAGATGTCTGTTTAGTCATACATGTCCCCTGGGGTTTTGAACACCTTTGGGTTAGAGAAAGGCTTTACCCAGTTATCACCTTCTTTTGCTTAGAGAAACTACAGGTGGAAAGGTGGCTCAGAATATTGGGGTGGGTTGCCAGATTAACCCCCACTTCTGTTTGTCTTTGTGTCCTTATTGTCAGTTCACATTGAACACATTTTGGGCATCAAAGCATCTGATTCCAGCACAGATGATGTTTGAAGGTGGACTTTCTTGCTTAAAAAAAAAACGGTCAAAACTACAGTAGTAGCCATTCAAAATTTCCTCACTTTCCTTGATTGGCCCTTGGATGGTCCCCTACAATTTCTTTATAAACATCAATATTTGTACTAAAATATTCTGATTTGATTTGTGGACATTAAGATCTAAAGAGAAGCGTCCTCTCCTGATCAGATCCTGTTATCAGTAAAAGGGTGGAGTCAGAGTAAAGAAATATGCAAGAGGGGGTCACTCCAGTGGCTGGAAGTTGGAGGCTGGCTTTTGACTTGGAAGGGCCATTTTGAATGGCTGCTATTGTATTTTTCTAACTCATAAAGTAAATAAAACCGCAGCGAAGAGCATCAAGACTGTCGAAGTGTGGGAAAAAAAATTTATTGAAAAATTGCTGATTTAACCCAGCATCCAAATTTCGTTTTTTAAGAGGTTTTGACGCACAAAACTCATTCAGTGTGAACGCACCCTAAACTTTTCACCTGCTTTGCCTCCTGCTAGTGGTCAGATGGCCAGATGCCGCCCAGCTGTGGCTAGAATGTCGCCGGCTGCCATCAGCGTGTGAACTGCTGCTTGAATACAGTAGGTGACTGACTGAATGTACATAGTAAAGCTGCAGTGTTAAAGTAACACTTTAAGAGTACGTTTGGTTCCACACTAAGTCAGAGTGGGACCAAATGTACACTTAAAGTGTTACTTTAATACTGCAACATTTACTGTGCAGTGTAAATTTAACATTACCATTTACAAAAACAAGTATAGACAGATGCTAGAGACATTTTTAATCCTTAAGGTTAATCAAATGCAGTGAAACATCAGGTATTTTAAGTTCAATTAAATTTAGCTTATTCATATAGCACCAATTCACAATATATCATCTTAAGCCATTTTCCAGAGACAGTAAAGTTAGTTCAGATATTGTGTGCTGAATATGAATTCCACCCAGATTTAAAGGGTTTTCAAGCTTTATTTCACAAATAACTTAGTATGAAGCCTTTTAAATCTCTAACTCTACATTTAAAAAGAGCAAAGCAGCCAGAGCAGCTTTGCTGAAACATCAATATTCTGTAATATGTCCTAATCCAAGAACAGCTCAGACCAAGACATTTTGATTCTACATCTGACATTAACCATTCAGAGTAAAGACCCGCAGTTTCCTCATCATCATTTATCAGCATCTACAGCCTCCCACACACACTCTGTAGGGAGCGTGCCAAGACAATACAGGCCATTTTTGTAGATCAATATTATTGTTAGGAATGACCTCACACCTCCTGCTGACTGCTGTGCCAATCTCACTGGGGTTAGTGACCTCTGACCTCAGCTGCCAGCTGGCTTCTCTGTTTTTTTGACATAGCTTGTAGTTTTTCTTGAGGGAGACGCAGCTTGAGGAAGCATGCATGAAAAACTCTGTCAAAGCATAAATTGATGAATGAGATCCATGTTCATTCTTATTAATGAAGACATCTGGGTAAGTGGCTGAATAGAGGGAGATGGCCACATCTGTTATGATACACCTGCTGAATATTTTAAATGAAGGAGGCCTGCCTGTCCCATGCTGTGTGTTTGTTTATGTAAACTTACTGTGTTTTTGGTCATAATGTAGATATGTGAGCCCTGATCGTCAAGAAGTAGATCACTGTGGATAGGGGAATTGGGTTGGATCGTTGAGTTTGCATATACCTCCACTGCCCCATTCTTGCCAAGATAAACCTGTAAACATGGGAAAAAAAATGAATTATTGAATTCAGAATCAGACATGAATATATTCGGCACTCTGGGTATGAACACAGACCTATAAATTAATTTTCTATTAACTGAACCAAATTATCCATTGGAGCATTCAGAACCAATGGATGCTAAACCTGATAAAAATGGAGAAGATGCTGGCGGACTCCCAGAGAACCCTGCTGATGCTATCTCCCCTCACTCTTCTCAACAATACTGCTTCCACTGTGGACTATTTCCAGCTCATAGGAACAACATTCTCTGTTAACCTGAGGTGATCCTCAAACATACCGTCTGTATGGAAGTAAAAGGCCTGCAGAAATTGTAGTTCCTTCAACAGCATTCCTGGAACAGTCATTCAGTCTTTTTTGTGCACATCTATCTCATTTTGGCAGGCATCCCAAGTTCCAAAAACTCATTTCAGGGAGATGCTTACCCCCCGGGGAACCACAGACCAAACACAACACAAAACAGAACAGTATTGGCCTTTTCTTTTACATTTTAAATACTTTCAATCATGTAGCCTTGAACATCGGTTGTGCTTCATGTTTTTCATGGGACTTCAGCATACAGTGCACCTCGCCACGGTGTCATCATTCCTAACCATTGCCGGTTCTAGACAGGGGCCAACGGGGGCCAGAAATTCTAATGATGATATGCACTGGAACAGACATAGTTACTGATAGGTCCTTTGGAACTACTTCATTCTTTTTCTTTAAATATTCTGTTTTACTAATTATTCAAAAACAATAAGGTGATAGCTTCAGTGGTACTGAGATAGGATCCCAGTTTTCGTCTGCCAAATGTTTTTTTTTTTTTACACAACAAATAAAAAAATACTCTAATTTTTACAGATTAATTTAACAGTTTTTCTTGAGTTCTAATTCAAATGTTATGGGAAAACAGTAGTTTTAACTTAAATCAAGTCAAAAATATGCAAAATTCCTAAATTATAAATGTATATTGACCTAATAAGAAATAGAATTTCTATTGAACCTAATTGAAAAGAAATTTCACTTCATGCAGCTATATTAATATATTTGAATCTCTTGCCCTGATTATTTATTTCATGCTTTTCAGTGCCCCCATGAAAACATGCTGCCCCCCTCCTGGCCCCCTGGTATATTTGGTCTAGATTCACCACTGTTCCTCACCTTCACTAGATGTGGATATACTTTAGTATATTCTGCTGTAAAATTTGTCCTATATTTTTGTTTTTACTCGAGGATTCAACCTCTGCCGTTTTACAGGATGCACTGCTTTGAGTGGTAACTAAGTGACTGTCAGAGAGTAACCCGAAACCTATCGGACAGATCCAATCAGCTCTCTAATCAACCAGTCACCTGGAACGCTGGTTGATCAGAGCATCGCTTTGGACAGACACGCTACACAGGTTTCACCACCAACCTCCTCCTCACACTTCGCTCTCTCTTGTTGTTCCTGCGCAATTGAAATAGTTCTTATCCGCACATGATGCATGAATTATTGCCTGCCCGCTCTCACTCCATTTAAAAAACACCACCTCGCAGAGTATAAAATCCTGGCATCCGTAAACAACTAACGATATCAGGGAGACTCCCAGAACTTCCGGGAGACTTTGGATGTCTGGTTTGGTCATGTAAAAAAACAGAAGAGTTCCAAAATGCAACCATTAGGTCTACAGATAGGATCCTTGGGACTGAAATTTTCCTCCATGCAATGCAATTCAGATTATTCATATGAAACCAGTTCACAACCCATTTCATCTGAGGGCACTTTACACAAACACCTCAGTCAGATATCCAGTCAGATTGGTTATAAGCTTTATTTATTTTATATTTATATTTATTCATTTATCTATTTTTTAACAGTGACCTGAGTGGCGATGTGGCAATAAAATTAATTTTTTTTTTTCCAAAGAAACCCAGATGACTGCATCAGGTCATGGACTTGGTAGGATTCCCTCCTACTGGATAGGCATCGATGACCTGTTCAGGTCCACAGCTAGAAAAAGGCAGATCTTTTTTTTAAAAATATGAAAATCCTCCACAATGCCTTTAATATAGTCAAACTAATTTTGTCTGATACCGAAGAAATATTTGATATACCGGTAAAATAGATTATCTTGATCAACTTTACCCGCTCCATTTCAGCATAGCGCTAATGGCAAAACAAAGCAACATAGAGACAGTTTCCCCCCAGGGCTGTCTCTCTGTTGGACAAAATAAACACATCATCGTAAGAGTAGTCAGGAACTCTCTTAGAAAAACTAAGGTATTGTGCAATCTGCCTTCCTCTTTCATTTATTAAAAAATAAGGAAAAATTTAATTTATGAAAATCGTTGTTCATTCTAGTACCTTTTCATTTGCGTTAATATCATATGTCATCAGAGCGCTGTCTGTCTCGCTGCCAGCTCCCAGATCAGCTTCTCTGATTGGTTGATGCGGCGCGTCCAGCAGCAAAACTTCAATTTTTCCATCTGAGCAGCAGCAGCGCGTTGGCGGTGCATCAGATGCTTAAACGCTCCCGACGTGCTGCACCAAAACGCGCTGCAGGACCTTTTGCTGCGCCTATACGCGCGTCAACCATTGACTTTGCATGTAAACTCGCTGCTTCTGCTGCACCTGCTGGGTCCGGTTCACACCGATGTCGAGCGGTTGAACAGCGAGCACAGCGTTAATTTGTTTCCCCATGTTTTTCCCATCAGCTGTGAGATGGGCACGCATGGAGTCACAGATTAATGGTGATGAGTGGAAAAAAAACACCTGGTCTCCTTACATTCAGCCACTCTTTCATCATCTCCTCAATGAGGTGGTCTCAAAAGTCGCAGTTACAACACACATAGGGCGCACCGCACCATAGGGCGCACCGCACATTTTGAGGGAAAAAAAAGACGTTTAAGTGCGCCTTATAGTCGTGAAAATACGGTATTCTACTATTTTTATCCTGTCCTCTTTAATGCTTTTTACATATCTTGGTGGTTGTTGTACAATTTTTTATTATTTTTTTTACTTTATTTGCCTACTTTTAATGTACAGAACAGATTCAGATAGAAAACAGACCAAACTATTGCCCCCTTCTTTCGTTATTCTTATCCCTTTATCTGACCACAATCCCTCCCAAAGTAGGACGGGATGAAAGTAAAACAGAATAAAACAAAAAAAAACCTTCTGCATTTATTTATTTATTTATCTGTGTAATTAATTAATAATTTAAATAACAAATACATATCCTCAGAGGTAAAATCTTGAGATGTCATAAGATCGCCTTTGTTGTTTGATATTATCACAGAAGGGTCCTGGAATGACAGATAACTCGAATCAGACTTTTTTTCATACTATAAGGTATTTTATTGGTCTATTTACCGGGTTTGAGAACTCAAAGCTCTATATCTATTCCACACAATGAAGATACTTTTCTTACCAGCACAATTTTATTTTTTGGATGCTTTAGCATTCCATGTCATGCCTGTCAGCTGCTCAGAACCTTGGGCATTCTATTGACTGTTGTTAAATGTGCTCTATAAATAAATAAAAGTAAACATGAAAAACCCCGCAGTGGATGGTCAGAACTCTTAAGCTGATGTGACCAGCTGAGGAGGCGTGTCCCAGAGTCTGAAGAGATCCGACCCATAAACCTCGGAGAAGAAATTAAAACCCTTGCACCGAAATCTATGCAGTTAATTGCAAAACCATAACATGTGTGTCAGTGTGTCACCCAGCTGTTTACATTTAACATATAAAGGTGAAATGAAAGAAGAACATGAATGCAGTTTTACACCCACTGTTGGCTACGATGATGGCGATAGGAAACCAGATTAGAATTCCTTACTTTGTGAACACAAACTAAGCGATTAAAGGACTCAATTAAAAAAAAAAAACAGTGTTCCCCTTTAAGTTGATTCAGATCCTGGATATAATTTATTATTATAATTATTATTTTTTAAAGTCGGAATACTCCACAGTGCTGCAGTGCTAAAATGCAATATTTGACCAAAAAAAGGAAAATCTCCTTGGCTTGCAACTGAAACACAAAATCAAATCACACTTGCACAGGATTGCAGGAGAAGTGGCCATAGATCGGATTATCACACAAACAAATCTAATATGAAGCACAGGAAGACACCTCTGGCTTGAGTGATACCAAGCCTTCAAACTCTCATGTTACCTACTGTTAATAAGATCACTACGGATAAAATAAAGAATCCGTTGTCTTCCATTAGGAGGATGCACTCAACACATAATGGTAAAGGAAGTTCTTTGCAATGATTAGCAACTCAGAATAGCAACTGATTACTATGTTATATTCAGTAATTAGCAAGTTCGATTAGTCTGACGCAGAAGTGAATACAGACATTTCCAGTAACATTTCATGCCTATTGAGGGTGCAGAGTATTTTATTGACAAGGCAATTTAATCAAAGGCAAGAGAGAAAGAAAATCTGGCTTTTCAGGTATTGATTCTGTATAGGACTGTGGAAATTCTTAAAGAAGATCTGTTACAGATGCCCCACAGTTAATAAATTACTTGTTAACTTTCAAATTCTTTATAATCTTAAAATTAAATCACATGCCTTCACAATATTACAGTAATTTCAAGGTATTTCTTTAAAGTTACGGTGACCTATCAACACAAACAGGAAACAAATGTTAAGCTAAAGGAAAATGTATACATGGTTTAAAAAAAAGAGGGGCAGGATCTGCTTGAAACCACAGCTTCCAGTTGTAAACTCAACAAACCGGCCAAAGAAATCCAACGTTTCAAGAAAATCATGAAAAATATCGATGATAAAATCCTAAAATCTATATAGAGGAGCCAGCTACAGGTGATGCAAAAAAAAAAACATGAGCAAAATGTGAAAAGTAAGGCAACACTATGATTCTATGATAAGATGGAACCAACATTTGCCTTAAGATTAAAATATTGCAAAGCACCATGTCAGAGGGAGTGCCCCACATCACTTATCATATCAGTGTGGGAACATGGTGGTGGTAGCATCATACTGTGGGAGGAACAGGAAACAAAGAAGCTGGTCAGATATTCTGGGGAAAATAGATAAGGGTAAACATAGAACAAAATACGGAACAAGGCATCTTAGAGACTGCAGAATTCTTAGGCCTGGGGTGGAGCTCCACCTTCCAGTGGCAGAACAGGCCATGCAGCCAGAGCTACAATAGTACGATTTATTAATAGCAACATCTTGTCTTAGAATGCCCAAGTCAAAGTTGGGACCTAAATCATCCACCGGTCTGCAGAGAAGGTGATTGGCTGCAATCTTTCATCTCTCCAGGTTCTGCACGGAAGATTGTGGCTGATCCCTCGCACCCCAGTCACAAAATATTTCATTCACTTCCTTCTGGCAAAAGGCTGTGGTCCATCAGGACCAAAGCCTCACACTATGTTGATTAATGAAAGAAAGTAAAGAAAATCTGTGCTTCTTCCAGCATATAGAAGGAAACCTATAAGCTTTGTCATAATTCAATGACAAAACACAGCAAACCACAATTACACTATAATACTAAATACTAAATTTATAATAATAAATCAACAATCAGCTCCATTACATAAGCTAAGATCAAAATATTAAAATTACATGCAGAATACTAACAATGTGAATAAATAGAGAAGAGGGGATGGAGGTTTAACAGGACTGCTTAAAGATTGTTATTTTCAGAAGCTATAATTAGCCTAACAAATAAGCCTAACTGAAATATATTTTTATAATATATTGAATATAACTGCATATATTGACCCAACATTTACATTTATGTTATAAAGGTATACTTCAAGGTCACCCCTCACTATCAATTATAGTACAAATAAACCTCTTATATTTACAGCTGCAAAGCAACAGGGACAAGTAATAAGAAACACCCTGGCTTCCTATTTGATGAGTATTGATGTTTTCAATTTAAGTAAAATCACTCTTGATTATGAATCAATTAAGAACTCAGACAAAGACTTTAATTATGTGTAGTTTCATATGAAAGCAGGAGTCAATGTGTAAGCTGTTTAGATATTTGAAGCTGTTGAAGGTCAAATCTCAAACGACGTACAGTAGGGAAGCCAAGCCGGTCTTAAGCTGAAGCCATGTTACGTTACTGTGAATAATCAACACTGTGTTTTTGTCTGTTTATTTCCTCTTTGTCTGTAGAGTCAGGGTGCTAACGTTTGATTAGATAGCATTTTTATCCTTATACGTAGGGGCGGCCATCTTAGGAGAAAGTTTTATGACCGTTTGACCTGGCTGGGTCCTTCCCCGTAGCCTGGCTTCCTGGGTGCTATCTGAGATGATCCATTTTGCTCCAGTGCTGCTACATTTTAATGCATTTCTAAGTTATTGTTCATCATTCACTGTAAAACCGAATGAAGCTTCACTTTCTCTCATAGCATCTAATATCTCTGCATCAGTTGTTATTCACATGTATCTGCTGCTATTCTAAAGAACGCCTTAAATGCATTAACCCATAAAGCCTCAAAACTTAAACATTCATTGAGATTCCTTGAACTTTCAGTAAAGTTTATTGTTTCCATAGTTATAAGACATAATAATACTGCAATAGTTATTTATTAGATAATAGAGATACAGATACCAGTTTTTGCTCTGTTTGATTTTGCACTTTCAGATGAATGAATGAATGAATAACGATCCAAAAAATGTAATGTCTCATAACATAATCAGAGCAAATGGAAAGGAGGAAATTATTCCCACTGGATGAAACGTATACATTTTGACAAGAAAAGAAGCGTGTTTACATTATTTTAGCAGTATGCGCAAGTGGTTAACAACATTACCAGCTGTGAAGAAGATGCGTTACAAGTGTGTGTTTTGTCTTTGCCCCTAAATTCACATCCACAAGTATGTCATCTATCACCATTTGTTGGATCCACGAATATCATTTGGAGCATTTTTAAATATGGTCCAACCTTAGCTGATGACCATAGTGTAAAATTTTTAGAGACAACTGGATTTCAACAGTTTCAGACATCCAACCTTTTGTTAAAAGCCTAAAGAACCTTGGTGAGTAAGCAGATGTCAGTTATAATCATTTAACTAATAATCATTACTGTAGCTGAATGAATGAAAGATAATTCAACCTTGATTTGAATTACTGATTAATTAACTAGAATTATTGATATATTCATAATCTGCTAGTTAATTGCACAACAAAGCTTTCATGGAAATCCAAGTGAACACTATTGTTGGATTCAAAATTTCAAGATAGTACTGATGGCTTTAGGAGCGTGTTTTCTCTCTTTGCACAGCAAGCAGGAAAAAGGTTGTGTTGATTATGAAAGCATGGATCTATTAGGGCCTGACGGACAGAACAAAGATATTATTCATAAAGAACCTGTCTGACAATACAGTGTAACCTAAAATCAAAAATTAAAAACATATAAGAGTTGTATTAAGTTTATTCTTTTTTTTTTTTTAACAGCACTAGTGGCTCATTTTTTGGACAGTAGACTGACAGGAAAGGGGGTGAGAGAGGGGCAGAGACATGCGTTAAAGGACCAAAGGTCAGATTCGAACCCTTGTCAGCCGCGTTGAGGCCTCCGTAAATGGGTCATGCTCACTAACCACTGCAACACCCAGAATCATTACATTTTTAATAACAATATAATAAATTACAACAAATAAATTTTTTCCATAGCTTTGGTCTTGAAATAAAATCTAGCGTCATCAATGTTCGAGACCGATATATGTATTGATATGGGAAGCCTCAAGTGCTCAAAAAAGGGAGGGAAATTTAGTACAATTCTTCAAACTGATTGGGTATCGGCCTCCCATGTTGAGTAGCCAATCAAAGCAACAGTAGCAGCTTGGTTTGTTTTTCATCCTAATGCTCGCTTCTAAAAAAGAAATAGAGCATTCCAGCTTGGCGATGTGCTGACGTCATATACGTCACTGCATTTCATTGCTCCAAAACATTTCTGTATCGAGGCAAATGCATCTGCTGGCCCCTGGCAGTGAGTCAATTCACAAACTTTGCAACACTTCATCTTACTTGCAAGGTATGGTTAAACCAAATGAGCATCTGTGGGAAGTCAAAGCTGGAGGCTGTGCTTTTTTAAATCTTTGGATCTAGTGGTGTAAAACAGTCTGATAACAAAACAGAAAAGGCAAACAAAACATTTTTAAGCAGTTGCTAATTTAGCCTAATCATTATTTCCCACTAGCTAAAACAGCAGAAATGCTATGAACAATTTTATTTCATCTTCAGAAAGTCAAAACTAAAGCCACTGCCTTTTGGCAGTACTTAAAACACAGAAACACACACCAAGATGTGTATATAGATACAGAGGGATTCGACTTTGTGTGATACTATAATCCTGTTATAACAGCTTGCCACAAAGGCTTACACAGAGTTCTGGTTTGATCTTCTAAGTATAATGACTAAGTCTAGCTCTACATTGCTCTCCATTCAATCCACACTAATTCTGACAAAAGAAAGCCTTAAAGAATGTGTCTATCTGCAGTTCTATTATCTTGATCCTGGACGGCAACAATTACATCTATGTAGATGTGGTTACATCAGGTTATAAGTATATTTTCTTACAACTACAGAGGCAAAAACTCTGACAGAAAAAGAACCATCCACAAGTTTTTTAAAAACCACTTACTTTACTTTAATCTTTAAGGCAGAGAATACAGACCCTGAGAACAGAAAGTTCTTTTCTGAGCAACAGGATTATAAGGGTATGTTTAGGGGTGTGTGAGTCTGTGTTGGAATGCTGTGAATCAGAATCTTCCAGACTGCACATAGAGACTGTGGTGATTAGATGTGGGCCAGCTCCCCCCATCAAGATTGGAATCACTCAAGGTTTCAAACACTTAAAAAACATTTTATGGATGGATGAAGCTTAGAGTCACAGAGTGCTGCCTGTACATCTCCTGGTACTGCACACTGCTGATCAGCTGGCTAAAAGATGGCTACTACATTCTTTTCCTTTCTTATAAAGGAAAACCTTCTAAGACATTCTTTGTGATTCTAAAAGAGATTTTTCTTTTAAAAATGCATTAAAATCAAGTAAACTTCGCAAAGAAACTTAACCTCCCAACTCAGACGCCTCATGTTGAAGTGCACTAAAAAAACATCAATTAAGCACCAAATGCAAGATTAGTTGAAAAACAAACAAATTTAGACGTGGTTTGTCACAAATTTTTAACACAATTGAAATCAAAGGCTAAACTGCGAGTTTGTTTTTTGCATTAGTAGGAAAAAAGTCTAAAACACTATGAATCTGAATTCTTTTTTTTTTTACAATTTCTTTGTGAAGCCCATGACTTCTGTGAAAACTGGTAGTTATAATTCTAAGGACAGTCAAAGATTTAAAGTGATTAATTTTTCAGTTAGAATAAACATGTTATTAAGAAAAATTGACCCTAGATTAAATTGTATTAATAAAAATATTTTCAAATTAAAATCTGAAAAGGGATACAAAGATTATTGTACTTTATATACAGAAAGCTATACTCTAATGTCAAAAGTAGGGTATGTTCACTCTGCTGGAACATGATACAGAGACAAGCAGACAGAGCAGGACGGCAGGGCTGTATGAACAGACCATAGCTCAGCATCAACTCTTACAAGACTCCATTCTTGTGCAAAAGGCTCTTAGGGTGTAAGAACAGAACACTCCCTTAACGGGAAGAGTCTTGATGGATTAAATATTCCTACGTTGATGGTGATGAGTCAGGGATGTCTCCCTGCCTTAAGCCAGGTTCATGCAAAGGGGGGAGGGGTGACTACTATACCTTGTGAAGAATTCCTTTGGCATCTCCAAGGAAGGCAATGCTGTGTCCCTCTCTGACACTGACTGCAACGGCGGTGAGACGGGCTGCGGAGGTTTGCCACACAGCTTTAGCTTCCAGGGGTATTTTGCTCGCCATGGGACTGGGGGTGTGGTCAGAACCACAAGGGTACGCATTGAGAGTATTCTGAAAAAAGGGTGTAAAGTTTGTTCAGTGATGCATAAACAAAATGACAGAGTGAATGAATGTAAAGGTACACCGTTACATTGTTTGAACGTTTTTAAAAGTATACGGCAGTAACTCACCATGGTTGCATACATTTTCATGATAAATTACAGCATCCTGTTGGCATAGTATTTATTTTTTCTTTTTACCTCTTTAAAGCCTTCCTGTGTATGTTTAGGAACACAACATCATATGACCGGGATCATGTAACTGGATGTGGACAATTGCTAAACAAGCCGAAGCAATGGAGCAGTGTGGAACTTTCAATCTAGTTGCACAAAAAAGGAAAAGTGAAAGTTCCAGTGTAAAAAGGCACTGGAAGATATTTAATTCCACGAGGGATAAAACTCAAGTTATGCTGTAAAAAAAAAAAAATGACTTATGGACTACACTAAAGCTGGAGCTAAAGCTAAGGAAGAACACCGATATTGATGCAAAGCTGATAGGTGCTTTAGGACATGTCCATGCAAATAGTGCTACTGATGTTAGCACTACTTTTAAGCTCTTCCCTCAGAGCTGTTGCTTTCCACAGGACAACAGAGTATGATGGGGCTTATTTAGTATATTCATCAATGAGCACCATCTGGCGGTCTTCTTCTTTACTTCTGATAGTGGTGCCACATCTGTATTTAAGCTCTTAACAGCCAGGGAAAGGGTTCTACCAAAGCTCAAATAGGAATATAAAGCAAATTGGTCAAGAAAGACTCAAATAATTGGCAAAGAAGAACAAAGGTAGAATTGGAGTACTTGTTTTAGGTTATGATTTGTTTGCATTTTAAAAGCAAACTTTTCATTGTTAAAGAACAAAACATGAATCTTCTTCATTTATCCTTGTTTTCTCAGTGCTCCACTTTCCTCTCATCAGCTCTTGTGCAACAGTTATTCTGCTCCCATCTTTGAGTTTCCTCCCATTCTGCTCCCTCTCCATCGCTGTCCTCCTATCTTTGTTTGTCAGAGCTCATTAGGGAAAGGAACACATGAGTTGGGGTTGCTTTTCTTTATTGATCACTAACGATCCCATTAAATGGTTCTGAGGGCTAACGGGATCAGAGCGACTGAGATCAGAGGAAGGGGCTTTCTGGACAGCTGCAGCTGTGTTAAACTGCTCCTCGGGCATCAGGGAGCTCTGAGTCTTTGAAAAGGAGCCTCATTACCAGGCCTCTATCCATTACTCGTTCTCATCATGCCAGCCTAGTCGTTCCTTGTTACTTTGCACTCCGTTGCATTTGTTTTACCTTATGCTGAACACTTAAGTGAGTCAATACAGCTAAGGTGCAGGCATTTTTCTCATGATGTATAGTGGTAATGCATTGACTGTGAACCTATACCTCAGCAAATACCTATAGCAGAAGTTTGAATTGTGCATATATTGATATATGTATGTCAGTTTCTGACTTTTAATAAGAATTCAATTAAAACTAATTTTTCTATGGTGGAATAAACATACTAGAACTAAACTAGATTCTAAAAATTCAAACTGGCTGAAATATACAAACATTTGGCTGGCTTTACCTCAAAGCATGCTTTTACTGCCATTAACTTATTTGTTACTTTCCTAGGAAGCAAAGTAGAACATTAGCAAGGAATTAAGAAAGTATGCACAAAGTTAGTGAGGTTAATCATTAGGACATTAATTCATGTAGTGTGAGTGTCCAACAACAACCACTGAAAATTGAAAGAGAAAAAAAAAAAAAGATTCTCTCAGTTCTCTCAGCGGAAGGTTGTTTTCAAAACCCTACAGCTCTGAAATGTTTGTTTTTCCACTTCCACATCTGCATTTTTGTTTGGGTCCAAAAACTTTTTTCTCGTGCATTCTTACCAGAGGGAGGCTGGCACAGCTGGACTTGACTTCGTACTCTATGTACGCCACCTCTTCTCTACCGTCAACCAACCCATTTTGGGTGTAGCAGAGGTCACGGGTGGAATCAATGTGCTTGTCAAGCTCATCCAGGGGGAAGACGCACAGGGCAGAGGAATCCAAGGGGCTGTTTGTTGAGCCAGTGCGGGTGGAGAAGACTCCCAGCAGATTTTCGCCTTGTTGGCCCGTACCTTGGCCCACCTGTTGCAACAAAGGTGTGGGAAAAAACAGGACAGTACATCAACATGCCTGCTAAGGGGAGAAGCTTGAAGAAGACAGAAATATGTAATGTCTGAATTTAAGTCTTTACCTGGGCTGCCTGAAGGATGTTATATTTCACAGGAGAAAATGGAGATCGACAGACGAGGGGAATTTCTACATATGAATAGTAGGAGGTGTCCTCCAGACACACCCGAGCCATGTAAGTCCGGTAGTCCCTGGAAACTGACCTGATGTCTCGCCGGTAAAAGAGGAAATACACATACGAGTGACGAGTGAAAGCAGTTACAAAATTATGATCATACTCCGACAGGCGTCCTGCAATGACCAGCTTGGCAGTCTCCTCATAGGAAAATATAGGCTTTGATGAGAGATGACGTGTAGAGATTGGTGGGTGGTTGGCAGTGTAGCCCCTACCCACGTACATCACTGTCCTCTCTCCACCAGGAACTCTGACCACTAACCCAATGGTTGACACTGACGGGTCGTTGGCTGCAACATACTGAGTATCCACAGGACTTTCAGTGGAGAAGAGAACCTCCTTGATGGATCCTAGGCTTCGTTTTTGGCACAATCCCTGGTAGACACTGCCACATGTGATCAGCTCCAACGCCTTTGGGTCAACCAGGAGCAGCTTGTTGTGATTACTGGTTCTTCTAGCTTGGGGACAATTACTTTCAATGACAGGAGGAAGACATTCTTTGTTGTCGCTTACAGGACCGGTGGTCTCTTCTTGCTCAAGCCTGAGTCCATCTAACCCATCCAGCTGGAAGAGGTGATTCCTGGCTCCCAGGTACACCGTCCCCACAGCAGGGTTTGGGTGAAGCACCAGGTGCTGAAACTCAGTGTCATTGCGTGAAAACTTGGGGTAGGAGTGAGCATGGACGGAAGCCAATATGAAGAGAAGGACGAAGACAACAAGACAGAAGCTCAAAGTCTTCCCATGTAGCATGGCAAATGATCTGTTGGAAGAAAATATGAGAAAATAGAGTTAGACAAGCAGCTTCTTAAATGGCCAATAATGTTTACTAAAAGGGGATCAATCCCTCATAAAAGTGTGTAATTGGGACATGAATTGGCACATTATTAGCACATATTCAACACTTGGATTTTAGAGCTAAACTCTTAAAGTTTTGGGTCAGTTATTAATATATAATACATTATTGCTACATTGATCGCTAAATGATATGAAGTTCAACCAAGCAGATTTATTATACACATGTACACATGTTCAATTCCATTTCAGTATGGCTTCAGCTGTACCATGGAAGACTCTGATGTTTGTAAGAGAGCATTAGGGAAAAAACATAATTAAGAAAAAGGAAAGTAAGGTGGACAATTTTTTGTTGGAAGGACATTATTTGCATGGGGGTGGGGGGCAGTATGTAAGAAGTTTAATGCTGGGTTAGAATATGACAAAACATCTTAACCTTTCCACATCTGTCAGATCACTGATCATTTCAACCAGAATATACAGGGAATAAAGAGGATAGTGTTACTCTAGAGAAGCTGCAGAAATCAACAGCTCAGGAGAGAGAATCAGTTGATTGGACTACAAGCTGTCATTTCACAATATGACAACAATGGAAGAATGGCAAGAAGAAATCTTTTGCTAAAGTAAAAGTTTGCCACAAACCATAAAGGAGGCACAGCTAGCATGTGTCTGGCAGGACTCTGGTTAAATGAGATCGGCAGAATGAGCAAACCATCATCCCTGTGGAACAGATACGCAAAGTTGTTCCAAGGCTCAGTGAAATGGACATTTTATGGAAGAGCTTTGAAAAAAACAGAGTAATATTATTCCATCATTGATTAAATGCTGAGACCAAGAGATGTACTCCTCATTCAATATAATTCAATTCACTTTATTTATAAAGTGCCACTTCATAACAGGCAACACAAATGTTAGGGCCAGCCGCTTCATTATCGTCCCAATTAGCGGTTATCAGTCTCATAGAATGGCTTCAGATAGTGCCAGTATAAACAAGGTTGTTATCACCAAGTGAAACCTAAACCTAAAGTAATCTATCCATATGTTCAATATGAGCATATTTTTAGAAGTTCATCTATTGTTCAAAAAAAAGGTAATCGGTTTATTACTCATTATGAACAACCCCTCCCAAAAAAATCTCATATTCTGTCAACTAAATTGTTTATAAATTTCACATTAAACCCGTGTGACTAAAACATGTGGAATTCTCTTGAAGTAAAGCTTTAAAATGAAGTTTCTTTAAAAGGAAGGTAGGCTGTGAATAAAGTAAATAAAAAGTATAATGTAGGTAAACAGTAAATAAAACATAAGGTTTTAGACAAGGCCGAAGCGGCTATTTTCAACGATAAGCTGCATATTATCAGCCGTAAGAAACCTACTAAAATGGTATAGGAGGTGCAGTATAAAGCCATTCTACAGGACGGATAACCGCTAATAACGGCCATTTAATGGTTGAGTCCATCCAAAACGGGTTTATGGCAACACGTCTCAGGATACTTTAAAGAGAATTCCTTCAGATCATACAGTAAGATTGGTCAAAAGTCTTACTTCCATGTTGCCACAGCAGATAATCAAACAGGCCCTACTATGTCAACTGTAACTAAAGTTATTGTTGGCAGCATCTCAGCTCATAATTTGATCTTAAACAAACACCAAACTAATCTGGAAGATCTCAAGAAAAATTTGCACACAGAGAAAGCTGTGGTATCTTGACAGACCAAAGAAGACTAAAATACAAATCTCAACTGTAAATCTCTTAAACCAGCTCCATCTTTCTTATCTTGTTTACCTCAAACATATTCCCAAACGATTACCAGCTGAACTGTACGAAATAAATCAAATTCATAAAAAGAGTTTTAAAACAATCAATCGCTGACTAAATTTGTTCCATCACAAAAGCCTGGAATCTGAAAAGGATTGGGTCGACTTTTGACAGCAGATGTAACCCTTCATCGCCCCATCAGCAGCAGAACCAGACAATTATCTGACTCTGTTCCAAATGTCACTGTTATATTGAGTGTTTTCACAAAGCCAGCAGCCACAGCATCCTTTACATATGAAGCATTCAAAACATCAGCTCTCATTTCCCATTTTAACAGCCATCACTCAACACCTCTGAGGAAAGTGCTTCATGGACACTGAGAGCCTTTGCATTAGAGAGAAACTCTTTAATTATTGAGCAGATTTCACAGACCTTTCACTGACCTTAGTGAGAAAGGTCACAAAAATAAGTAAGTGTGGATCGGGCACACCTAAAAGCAAGGACATGAATGACACTTTGATGAATACTGGTGAGGATTATTTACACCTCAACACCCTGCATAATGGAAGGGAGGACGACTCTATGTCAGTGAGCGACTGATATTAAGAATAAATGTATTATTTTGCAGAATACACTTAAAGTGCAATAGACTACAAAGACATTAAGGATGCAGTAGCATGTCACCTTAGTGTCTACCCCCCACAGCTCCAATCAGGACAAAGATATAGGGGGGATAAAAGGGAGGAGAGTGGAATCCCTGTAAGTGGGAATGGGTTGGTGTGTGTGTACAAAAAGCAGGCACCGTACAGGAGCAGGTGCATGTGTCAGATGAGTGCATCTCTGGCCTCCTCTTTACTTATGCATGAGGACAATAAGAAGTATTATAAGAAATAACCCCCACGCCCACTTTCTATGGACAGGAGTCCTGGATTTGCTGGATGAGTGAGTGAACCAAGGATTATTCAGTCTGTCCAACAGGCCTGAAAACTCACACTGTCCTCTGAGACACCAGAGAGGTCTTTTTAAAACAAACAATATCCTGGGCCTAATGTTTTATTTAGGCAAAAGCTTGGTTTAGGAGAAGATGGGCATTCCCTTTTTAGTCCCAATGGTTTGAAAAATGAAAGTCCCATTAGATATGAGACAAAGGTTTGCGTTGACCTTATTCTTGAGCCTGTTAAAAAGTTTCTAGATCAAATAAAGATTGAATACTTAAGTCAATAAAAAAGAAAACAAGTTTAAATTTGCAACGAAAGGCATAAATGGGCCATGCAAAATCCTTTGCATCAAACACTTCAAAACAATAAAACTGTTGGTGCACACAGATCAGAGCCACAGGATGATCATACAGTGTCTGCCTAACGTGGAATCCCAGTCGCTCAACATAATCTGATGCAGAAAATGAGTTTTTGGGCACAACTTTGCCCGCATTAAAGCACTGAGTGCATTTCAAACATGCAGGGAAGTGGACACAGAGCGAAAAAGAAAAAGTCTCCCGCACAGTTTCTTCATATTCCTTGGATGAAATCTGAAAACTTTAAAACATCCCTATTTACTCCCTTAATGCCACAATACAGGCCTGTAATCTGAAAGGATCAATCTGTGTGATAAGAAAAGTCAGAGGGATCTGTAATGGAAGGTCTGTGGTTGGTTGTTTATTGCAGAACTAGGATCTGGAAGGAGCTATAAATATATCATGATGTCAAGCTTACAACCTGAGAATGAGGTGTTTAAAATAATAGTTTGCTGACACAAACTGGAGTCGGCTTTGTGGTCCACACTTCGAAAAAGACATTCTGAGGAATTCTTTCTGTAAATCTATAGATTTCCCCCAAAAGGATATAACTGAAACACATGTATTGAAATTAAAGCTATCGCTATCACAGCTGTCATTATGCCTAAATTACTACATGAACATTGAAAAAACATATTTCAGTCATTTAATAATGCTTAACAGTCATCTTTTATTCACTTAATGTTTAATTCACTATTCACAATTCTGCAAACGTCTTTTTTTTGCACTTGGGTACAACTTGGGTTGTGCCCTCAATCGGTTTGTCATGATGCAACAACAAAAGCTTTTTACTGATGGTCTGGTTTTCTTTTAGTGATGCTTGTTGCTGTTTTTTTTTTTTTTTAACACATTTTGATTCATGGTAGGAAAAGAAAAAAATGCCTGTTTTTGATCTTCAGCAACTTTCAAACTGAAACTGGTTTCTTTAACAGAGCGTGAGAACAACTTCAGATTATTCTAACTGCCAATCTGAGCAGGCATCCTTACCTGCTCTTTGACCGGCCAATGTATTTATAGCCTACAGTGATCCTCAATGCCATGGGAACTTCCTCTTACCAACGAGCTACCATGACAATCTTTCCTACTGTATGTGTGGTGAAGATAAATAGGGAAGAAATAAAGCTGCTCCATAAAAGAGACAAAATGGGAAGTTCACTCTGGGACATTGCTCATGATGTTGAAGACCTTTTAAGGGCTTTGCCATTAATTCATCAACACAACTGCTCTGAACAATGCAAGGCTATTTTTTTAAAACATCTGTTGCCTGTTGTGAATACTGCTACTTTATCAAACAGCAATAAGCTCTGGAGCAAAATAGCAGCACTACTATGCAGAAAAGCTGAGTAATTGCTGTCATGCTCCCTATAAACAATTCCCATACTTCATCTGCTGTATGTGGTATGCAGAGTGTTACACCATGGTGACAGAGCAAGGAGCTAAAAATAGCCTCTGGTTGGGAAGAGAAAAGAGAGTCCCTACTGAAATATTAAGTAAACATTCACATCAAAACATATGAAGGATTTCCCGTGTCCTCAACAAGCTTTGAAAAGCCTTTCCCTACAAGATATTATTATTATTAAGTATTAGTTATTATTTTTTTTAGCCAAGTTCAGCACTTTGTTTTAGTGGTAGCTGTTTTAAAGTGCTATATCAATAAATATGAAGATGATGATGATGATACTGTCTTGGCAGCCAAACAACTTGGTAAAATAAATAAGCATCCGGTGGCTGCTAACCAATGGGCAGAAATTAAGCCCTTAAGACACACCCCTCCTCATTTGCATAATGAGGCAGACATGCTTACAGAAATGTAAAAACAGGCAGAAATAAATAGGGTAAAAAAAAAATACAAAGGAAGAATAAACCAAACAAAAATATTATAACATGCATATAAATAAATAATTAAAGAAATAAG